AAAGCTTGCTACTAAATGGCTTGCTCAGCCTGTGCATTCTTAGTTAAACCATTCCTTTTATGGGAATTCTGGCATTTGGCAAAGAAAATAAATAAATAAATAATGTCACAAACATATATAGAGCAGGTTTCAGTGAGACATTTCTTACAGGATAAAGGCTCCAGTACCACAATATTAACTTTGCAGATAAAGAAATGTGTATAAATATGAAGTAAAAAAAATATAAAATAAAAACTCTTGAAATAAAAAGACTTTTTAGTTCAAATATCTACGATGTTTTGTTTACAAAGTCAGATATTTAAGACAATGCTGTATGAATCCTTGAATTAGAACTATAATGGAACTGATGAATTGTGGCTACTAGATGATTGAAAAAAAAATGTAAAACTATTATATTTATTAACAAAAATTATATTATAATGAATTTTTGACTTCACAGATTTTATTTGAATGGATTTCAGATTTTACAAAATTCTATCATGATGGGTTTTAGATTTAAGATATTCTATTAAAACAAATTTAATAGATTCATTTATAGTGGATTTAAGATTTAACAAATTCTATCATGATGGGTTTTAGAATTAAGATATTCTATTAAAACAAATTTAATAGATTCATTTATAGTGGATTTAAGATTTAACAAATTCTATGATGATGGGTTTTAGATTTAAGAGATTCTATTAAAACAAATTTAATAGATTCATTTATAGTGGATTTAAGATTTAACAGATTCTATTATAATAAATTATGATGGAGTAAGAAGGACTTACTTCTCTATTTGGAGAACAGGGCCACAGACTCACTATGCTAAATGTTGCTAGAGAGCCCAGTCTTCTCTGCTATTTAACCCATAGTTGAGGGTAGAAGAATTGGATTCATCCCTTTCTCGAATGTAACTGTGCACAAGTGATCAGAATTTGAACTTGGCATAATCCTACTTTCCATGCCAATGACCAGGATACTACACGCTTATCCATATGTGATGATAATCACTCTATAGTAATTCAGCAATTATGATTTTCTAATTAATGGCTATCTAATAAATGTAAGTGTTCTGACATGGCTAAATATATTGAAAAAATACTTTTTATTAAATAAATAATACCAGGAGTAAATGAAAACAGGTCTTGGAATATAGTTTAAAAAAAAAAGAAAAAAGAAGCTAATTAATTTACAACAGCCTGAATGACTGATTTGATTTTTACAGTTTATCAACCTTAAGGTTATTTAAAGCCAGAGAATATTTTTAATTTAAGAAGTTTCTGTAGATAATAATGATTTACTCATACAAGTCTTACTAATTAAAACATAGCTGGGGGAAAGGTGAATTCCTACCTTTCCTAAGAGTATTTGTGTATAAGTAATTATAACAAAAATGACTGTAATTGGGACTTGGATTTCTGCTTTCCAATTCTGAGCCATTATCCAATACACCACTTGCAGATCCCAACTTAGAGCACCTGGTATTCACAAGCAGTCATCCACCAAGCTTGATATTGCTTAACTTTGGTGATCATACAGGAACAGGAGTTTCAATGTGATATGGCTGTAAGCCTAATTTATAATGAAATATCACAAGAAAAGTATTGAGCTCCTCAATAAAGTCTTATATAAATATGTAGGTAAATAGATAAATTTGTAGCTTCATCATGAAAAAGTATTTATTTTTCACAACAAATATTTTTTTGTATAAATTCTATTGTCAATTCACTTAATTCAGTGGATAATATTGATTACACAGATTGAACATTATACAGTGAGACTTTCAGATCAAAATTTATCTGATAATGATGGCTTTAAACTTATTGATTCAGCATCATAGATATGAACACTTACTTAAAAACAAATAATTTTTAAAATTTAAATAAGCAATGGCAATTATAAAATTTTTCCAAGGCTTAATGATTTCTTATTCTTTTGTTTTCAGAAAATATTTCTTAGATAACAATAGTTTAAAAAATACACAAGCAAATAGCCAACCATTGTTGATATTTCTCCATGAAGTATCAGACACAATACAATTATAAAAATTATATTAAGGTTTTACTTCTTGAATTAAATATCTATTGTACAAATAATTAATGTTGCTTATTATGTATCATTTAAAATAAATGTGATATCTGTTAATAAATTCAACAGATTTATTTTACCCTGATGAACAGATCTGCACCTGTCAAACTACAGTCTTTAGATTACTGATATATATATATATATATATATAAAGACAATATTAATAAAAGAAAAGACAAGAGAAAATGTTTTTCCTTGCAGAAATTTATCAAGGTAAATGTCGAAATTTTATTTGAAATGTATATAAATACAGGTTTCTTTTACTTAGGATATATACAAATATAGGTTCATAAATGAAATTTCTACTTTTCTATTTTTTGCTTTGATAAAGTTCCTTAAGGAATAGAATGTATTCACATAAAAGTTTTCTCTTATCATTTCTCATATCATATATATATATATATATATATATATATATATATATATATATATTATTCAAACACGTTTAATTGTTCTATTTTGTATATTTATTTTAAAACTTATCCTTTCCGGTTGTCTAATCAGTATCTTGATGTTAGATGAAATTCATTAAGGATAGTTCCATAGTTTTTGTTAAACCAAGAAACTGATTAGACAACTGGAAGGGATGAGAATAAAAAATAAATAGACACAATATTACTATATTATTCAATGTTTGAATGAAGATATACTACCTTTTATATATATATATATATATATATATATATATATATATAATTATAGATAACCATACTTGTTTCGAAAAACCCTTGAATTTTTGATTTGCTAATAATCAAATCAATCTTGAGGGAAAAAAAGGTTTTAAAAAAAGAAAGAGCTACAAACATGAACTTCTGCCGAAAAAAAAACTCTGAGTAGCAGATTTTAGTATTGATAATATTATTATATCATATTTAGGTTCAGTTTACTTTGGCATTGAGCAAATGAAAGAAATACATGGAAAATGCAGAGATTTATAAATACAATTTTTTTTTTTAAATTTATAATTACAGTTACTCATCATGATACATTTATTTAACACATTGACTACCAACCATGAGATAACTCATGGTTGGTAGTTTTTATTATGACACTAAGAGTTATGTGCTTGGCATTTTTTCATACATTTTCATCTGTGGGTACCAACAATGAGTTTATTCACAGTGATACTTTTAGTGTAAAAACAATGGTAAGATTTCAATTGAAGCTATAAATCAACTCACAAATTTTTTTATTGCCTAAATTGCGATTTGAACTCAGATTTCGTAGCTGACCTCTAGTAATCAACATGTTAAATTTTCTTATTCTATAGTACACAGACACGTTTATAAATATATTTGTGAATAAAAAGTATTGTTTTCATAAGTATTTCTTTATAATATGCCAAATAATAAATATTGCATTTGGTTTACATAACTCTATAATCTTGCAACTAAATAATGTCTAATATTTTGTTGCTAATTCTCAAGAAAAAAGAAAATTCATAAATCTAGAATCCTTTGTTTGGGTTTTATTAAACCCATATTTATTTGCTAAGGGAGTTTACAGTAATAATAGTGTCAAAAGAAAAACCATCCTTTTCGTATACCATTTTTTGGGGGGTATGATTGTTAAACGAAAAGATATTTTTATTTGGTTTATTGAGTTTTCTTTATTATTTATTCATTACTATTTAATCTATATTTTAATTACTACATAAATTTTAAGTATATTAGACTAAATATAAAAGATTGTTTAACATATAGGAAGTATTATATTCAACAGATTTTTTTTTATTTGATAAGAATAATCTCATCAATGTTTCTGTTATCTGAAACTTTAAAAATTCATATATTTTCATGTGGGTTATATTCATGGCTGGTGCATACTACCTCAGAACAACCTCCCCTGGTTTGCAGGGCCCAAGCTCAATTTGGGGCCCCAGGCAGTACTTTGTGACCCTTGCTATCTTACCAATATTTCCTTTTTTCTGTTTAAATTTATATTCATTATATATTAAACTAAGTACAACTGACGATTAAGGGGTGAAAAATGTTCATGGACTATGATGTCCATGAGGGAATCTTTTTTTTTTGCCAGATCTGTTAATTTGTTTTGTTCATGTTAAGTCTTGAAAAAACACTCTATAAAAGTCACTATTTTTTATTCATAATGTTCAATGTGTTAAAATTATTCAACTTTTTAACAAGAAAAATCTTAAGTTGTTGTTACTTAAGACGGAATGATCTATTATGACATGTCTCTTTGTATTTAGATACATTGTATTTATTTTTAGTTTTTCTAGTTGAATTGTTCACCTATATTGCATATGATTCATTATTGTACATAATTGGGTTAAAATAAAATTTGTATTTTATATGAATACTATCTTATGAAAATTGGGATGTAGTAGTGTGGTGGGATGCGTATCATAGATTCAAGGGTGGGTGGCACGAGACACTTGCACCAGCCTTGGTTATATTTTTTTCTTGCACATAGTCATGCAGTTTAGAAAGAACACTAAGGAGGGAAATCTAGCAAAATTCCAAATGGAATGGATAACAATGTGGCTTGGCTAAGTTGCTCTCAGCAGCAAATTCCCTTTACATCTTTATCAATTAAACTTCTTAGGGGTTGACAAATAGAGTAATCTCTTAGAGATTATATAAACATTCTGTCATACCTACTGACAATTTCTGGACATTTTTTCAGTTATATTCACAGATGAATTAGTAAGTAATTGTTTTTAATGGCTTCAAATAGGTTTAAATGATTTTAAATAGGGTTTAATGGTTTTAAATAAAGTTTAATGGTTTAATGGTTTTAATGGGTTGCAAATATTATTCTGGATCAAGCAGAATTTTAGAAATTTCACCATTATCAGACAATTTTTTTTCAGTCCTAGTCTGTGAGTAGCAATTCCAAACAAATCCTTTTATTTTCAGTTATACTTTGGAACTTAATCTTCAAGGCAAGCTTATGGCTACATAAAGTTAAAACACAGGTTCCCATACAATCACTGAAGTTAAGTAACATCATCCCTAGTCAGTACCTAGATGGGTGACCACTTGGGAATACCAGGTGCTGTAAGTTTGGATGTGCAGGTAGTATAATAGATAATGGCAAGAGAATTGTTAATTGGAGAGCTAAGCTCCAGTTCCCACTGGATTCATTATATTCACTTATGTGTAAATACTCTTGAGAAAGATATGAATCCACTTCATCTACCCCTAGCTATGGGTTAATTAGTAAGACTTGCATTGCTAAACCATTATTACCTAAAAAAAAGCTTTAAATAATCTGCAATTTATAAGCCATAAAAAAATGAATGAATGAATTAATCAATCAATCAACCAACCAAGGCAATAATGCTGCTGAGATGCAAAAAGGAATGAAAGAGAATTAAAAAGATTTTAGAAGGAACTGGAAATCCAACTCTAAACAGGAAACAAGGGATAAACCTCTATGCCTGTTTAAAAGACTGGTGTGTAGTGTGAACCAGATAATAGGCAAATCTACTCATAAATGGGCTAAAAATTCTTACTGACAGCATTGAGTATCTAATATAATTTTTCCAAATGTTGGGAATTGTATATTTTAGATATATCTAACTGACAACCCTGTTACACAAACAGCAGCAAATAATAAAAAAATAGTCTTTTTATATAGGAAAATAAAGTAAGGGTTATTAGGGTTACTGAAAAACAATTGAACCACACCAGTCCATAAATAAGTGCAAATGATCTGTTGATCTGGTGAGGGTGGTATGGGGAATGGCAAGTTCATTCCCTCAGCAGTAGATCCCCAATGGTTGACAGATGGAACAAGATTAATTCTCTATGTTTTATGAGAAGAACTTGCATAAGCTTTGAAATAGCAAGCTGCTTGCACTAAGTGATACACAGTTTATACAAGGACAAACTTATTTATAAAATAAATATCTTCCATTGTAAGATAAAATCAATCAACCAATACAGTATTATTTAAATATCTTGAAGGAAAATAATGATAAACTCACTGAAACCTGAGACAACTTATAGATACATGACTGCTGGATTTTTGAGTAAATTTCACTATTTGAGAACTGCCTGTGTAGTAGAAGAAATCAGCAGTGAAGACCAGCAAATGGCAAGTACAAAGTTGCTCATATGAACAGCATTATTCTACTTATATATGCTTAGCTGCTTTTTGCATTCTGTCTTGTTGGAAATCTTCCTCTGCAGTTCCTGTCTTTAAGAACTCTGAAGCTTCTGACTTCTTGAATTATTATCCCCATTAGCCTTTTATCTCTTTTTGGAAAAGTACTGGACACTCTAATCAACACAGAATTGGTTAAGCATCTCACTTCTCACAACCTTCTTTTGGATAAACAATATAGATTCTGTTTCTCCAGGTTAACCACCATTGTATTAACAACTATTGCTAAATTTGTATATTAGTCTTTAGATAAGAAGCGTGAAACTCGGGTTGAGAGTTTTAGATATCACAAAAGCAATCAACAAGGTTTGGCATGTTGGTTTTTGTCCACAACCTCAAGGGCTATGGTGTCTATGGACAAATATTTGGCTTAATTCAATTGTTCCTAACAAATTGTGTAATCAAGGTCATGTTGAATGAATATGCTTCTAGTTCATTTCACATTAAAGCAGAAGTTCCCCCAGGGCTCTATTCTTGAACCTATGTTATTTCATATCTTGATCAACTACCTTCACAATATCATTAATTCTCACCTAGGTATGTTGATGACACAGCTACTTGTTAGTAAAGTAAAACTGGCAACTTCTTTCAAAAATGACCTCCAATCAGTGGTTAACTGGGGCAAGAAATAGCTTGTAAATTTTAACACCTCCAAAATAAAACTATTTTCATTTAATCATCATGTGGAACTCCCTTCTAGATTCTTGTTTCCTTGTTAACTACAATCTTCAACAATTCAAATTGGTTGGCAACCAGTCTAGGAAAAGGACAATTCTGATTTCAAAACCTGAGGAGGGCCATTTAGAGTCCTTGTGACACACTATATGCAGTAGTTCTTTGCAGTCATTTCTTCTGAAAAGTGTAATTGATTTTTAAACAATTCTTCACTACTATAATCAAATCATGTGTAGGTAGTCTAGCTGTTCAGTTTTAGGATCTGGATGATGGGAGAGTCCATAATTATATGTGTAAAAATTTAAGATAGAGTAAAAGGTCAATATGTAAAAAGACTGAAGGAAAACCTATCTTAACCAATGTGTTTCATCCTCTGAGGCATTTGATTTGTGTCAGCTAAGACAATGTCTTTATGTTTTAAATAGTCACTTTTAAACAATTGATTTTATTGTAAGTCTATTATATTAGTAGACGATTTCTTCTATCTACAGCATCCCTTCAGGACATAGGCGATTATGGCTCTCCAGAATTTCCTATCCAGTGTGGCTCTTAGCATTTTTCTACCTTTTAAAAGGTGTTCACCCTGTTTTGCCATCCATTCACACAAGCTTGTCAGGTAAAGGTATATAGTAACTTAAAAATAAAATAAAAATACATATACATTTACTTACAATAATTTTGTACTGTACTGGATGTTTTTAGTCCATGAAAAAAAAAAGTGATTCAAATTAACAAATGAATTAAGCCAAATATTTGTCCATAGACACCATAGCCCTTGAGGTTGTGGACAAAAACCAACATGCCAAACCTTGTTGATTGCTTTTGTGATATCTAAAACTCTCACTGATTTCCCTTATCTCTTTTGCCCTCAATATGCTCCAAGAGGGTTAAGTTTTCCCAGACTAAATTCCTTATTATGTATCCAAGGAATTTCAGCTATTTTTTCCTGATTCTAAGTATAAGTGTCGTGTGTTTTCTATAATAGCAGAGACTTGACAAACAAAAAGTCATGTTTTGCCATGTATATATTTATTCTAGAGTTATCTCCTCTTTCTTGCAGCCAGATGTGAGAGCCTGCATTCACTCCTGCTCAAGTATTAACAAGGGTGAAACAAATATCTAAAAGACAACAAATATTTTCACAGTTTTTAATCTTTATTTTGTAGTAAAACCTTGAATTAACGGTCCCAGAACAAACGGACTTTGGATTTAACTTTAAAACTTTTCAAACTTTATTTAAAGGTATATAGTAACTTAAAAATAAAATAAAAATACATATACATTTACTTACAATAATTTTGTACTGTACTGGGTGTTTTTAGTCCATGAAAAAAAAAGTGATTCAAATTAACAAATAAATGAATTGATCTCTGTGATATAGTTTTACATGTGATGAGAGTTATCTTCCTTGCAATAGCAAATTTTTTTATAGAGTTATCTCCCTTGCACTGGATATTTTTTATTTATTTATTTATATCTTCAGCTTAAACGTGAAAATGAGGAAGGATTTAACTACCTGCTATCATTTTTAATCACAAGAATAAATTAGTATTAATATAATCATGAACATAAAGTGGGGGTTCTGTTTTCTATTGCCATTAAGTAATGAACTAATCATCCAAAATTATTACATATAATGTTATAACTCAGCAGCTTAGGCATAACTCAGTGGGTGCAGGTCCAAGGTTTCTCGTGACCAAATGATGCCACACACACATTAATAAAATATATTTGAAGACTATATATAAAGATAGTTTTAAATAAAGAAAAAGAATTAATTGAAAGAGATCAGCAAAATATGCCAAAAATTATGACAGTTTAGGTAATTAGACAAACTAGTATTAATATGTTACAAAAATAGAGTTCTTTGTCATTATTTTATTTCTAAGTTACTATATACAGTGTAACCCGGATATAAGAGAGATTTTCTCTGGTCCCAAATTAGAGCCTGTGTTAATGTTAATGTATATAAAATAGACCAAACCCGGATATAAGAGAGATTTTCTCTGGTCCCAAATTAGAGCCTGTGTTAATGTATATAAAATAGACCAAACCCGGATATAAGAGAAATTTTCTCTGGTCCCAAATTAGAGCCTGTGTTAATGTATATAAAATAGACCAAACCCGGATATAAGAGAGATTTTCTCTGGTCCCAAATTAGAGCCTGTGTTAATGTATATAAAATAGACCAAACCCGGATATAAGAGAAACCCGGATATAAGAGAGATTTTCTCTGGTCCCAAATTAGAGCCTGTGTTAATGTATATAAAATAGACCAAACCCGGATATAAGAGAAACCCGGATATAAGAGAGATTTTCTCTGGTCCCAAATTAGAGCCTGTGTTAATGTATATAAAATAGACCAAACCCGGATATAAGAGAAACCCGGATATAGAGAGATTTTCTCTGGTCCCAAATTAGAGCCTGTGTTAATGTATATAAAATAGACCAAACCCGGATATAAGAGAAACCCGGATATAGAGAAATTTTCTCTGGTCCCAAATTAGAGCCTGTGTTAATGTATATAAAATAGACCAAACCCGGATATAAGAGAAACCCGGATATAAGAGAAATTTTCTCTGGTCCCAAATTAGAGCCTGTGTTAATGTATATAAAATAGACCAAACCCGGATATAAGAGACTTCTTCTCCGGTCCCGACAACTCTCTTATATCCGGGTGACACTGTACCTTTAAATAAAGTTTGAAAAGTTTTAAAGTTAAATCTGAAGTCTGTTTGTTCTGGGACCGTTAATTTGAGGTTTTACTATAAAATAAAGATTAAAAACAGTGAAAATATTTCTTGTCTTTTAAATATTTATTTCACCCTTGTTAATACTTGAGCAAAAGTAAATGCAGGCTCTCACATCTGGCTGCAAGAAAGAGGAGATAACTCTGAAATAAATATATACATGGCAAAACATGACATTTTGTTTGTCAAGTCTTTTGCTATTATAGAAAACACACTAAGGGCATTACTTTTGGAGGCTGATATAATAAGCAATCATAAAAATACCAAATTGAAAATACACTAACTTGGTAAAACCAGTTTGCAAGTTGAACTACATTATAAATAATCATTTCAAGCTTTTCAAACATTCTGTAAATGACAGGAATAAAATACAAATAAAGAAAACTGTTTTCACCCAGGATTTCTGTGGATATAATTTCACACACTTTGCTTTGAAAATAACAGCTGTGCCTGTAATGAGTTGGTCGG